CACAATTGGAGATGCTCAGCCAGAATTCATCAAGATCCTCCTGTTGCAGATTGGATTACCTATCGTCAGGATCTACAGACTATTCCAACGGAACTTCTGTGGAGACATCGAGACGGCATGGAAACATTTTCAACAGAACCAGAAATTCAGGATGGACCTGGACTCAAGGACACCTTACCTGGGCGAGGATGAAAATGGTGAACTCATTGAACCAACTGCACAACAGATGAAAGAGCTCTACAAAGAGATCGGCCGACCAAATCAAAAGGACGACATCGGAGAAGAGGGATTCGTCAATGCATACTATGGGGCAGTGGTACTCAAAAGACTTCTCATATATACCCTTGAATGTGGCTACACGTATGATGACTTGCAAAACATATTCTTTGATGAGGAGATGGAGAAGCTGTCGAAACGTGACACCACAATGGATGAGATGAGAAAGACCACAGCGGCCCGCGACGCCCTTGACCGACAAGACGTCATGGTCAGAAGAATCATTGCAGGTGCATATAGGGTAAATGCTGTTTATTTCTTCAGGAACGTTGACTTTCAAGACACAATCACACTGAATCCAGTTGACATTGTGTGTGCTCTTCGTCCACCACTTCGAAGAATATCACTTTTACACCTGATCCTTCAGAATGGCCGACAATTGCCGCGACCTCTACTCCAAAAGCTATATGATGCGATCGATGACTACAATCACATCAAGCAACGAGAAGATCAACGACCAAGGTGGGGCATCCACTTGTCTGAAGCTCACATACTTGCGATTGCTGATACCCCGACTCCTGCTGATCGTGAACGTGCCAATCCAGCCGCTGGCAAATCGAAAGCAGCCCCGAAAGCTGCACCAGCACTGGGAAGAGTGTCGAAAGCGAAAGCATCATCGCCAGCGACATGGAGAACAGTTGAAACCGCTCCTCCGCCAAAACAAGCTCCAGTGACCCCGCCAAAGAAGGGTGGAAAAGACCAAGGAAAAGGTGGAAAATCTTATTCACACCGTGGCGGAGACTGGAACCAACAGGGATACTATGGATGGGGATATAGATGATTAAGCGATCTGACCTCTGCATAGGTCCTGATTGAACCTGGCGATGCGAGGATGCAATCATTGCTCGAGATTTACTTCTACTTCATTTTGAATGATTTCTGAGAGGACTCTGAGCCGGCTAATTTAGAACCACACATTTTTTTTTGAACATCATTGCATGAAACGCTGAGTTTCTACAGCGGTCTACGTCTCAACCGACGAAGGGACGGGAAGGTAAACTTCTAGTTCCATAGTCAACTTTGTGTTTTGATTTCTTTAATTCACATGCTTGAGTGAGACTCCATGCTGGCTACGCCACATTGGATGAACCTCAATGCTAGACACCGACTACGTCGTGTCTGCATGCACGTGAACAGAACCTTCATTTTTTTTTTATTTGGTAGAGATTGTAGCAAGCCGCCATGTAGATTGGAAGTTCTGAAACGGACTTTAGCTCTCCCTAATTCAATAAATGAACAGCTGCAAGTGTAGTGGATCAATTTAAAGGACACTCCTTTGCGCGTAGCCAACCAAGTAGGCTATGCGTGGGGGGTGCGAATAGAGTGTAGGCTACGTACGATTGTATATCCACATATAATTTGACACTCTAGGATCCATTGCCAAGGGGGTACATCAAATCGCCCCTTTGGCTCAAGACCCACTGCAGTACCGGAAAAGAGCAAAGCCATGCGGAAGCCGCTATTCACTTGTCATCGCCATTGAAGACGACTCCTTCAAGAACCAACATCAATACATAGTCGGAGTGACAACCTCCGATTCGCATATCCATTCTTCTATCCACCTATCCATCTATCCATTTTTAAATTTATCTATCCATTTTTTAATCTATCCATCTGTCCATCTGTCCATCTATCCATCCATCTACCTACCTATTTATCGATCCATCCGTCTATCCGTCTATGTGTCTATCTGTCTATCCATCTATCTGTCTGTCTGTCTCTCTGTCTATCTATCTCTCTATCTGTCCTATCTATCTGTCTATCTATTGAGCTGTCTATCTATCTATCTATCTGTCTATCTATCTACCGATCTAACTATCTATCTATCTGTCTATCTATCTACCGATCTAACTATCTATCTATCTGTCTATCTATCTATTTATCTACTTGTCGATCTATGTATCTGTCTCTCTGTCTATCTATTTATGTGTCGAAGCTATTCTGCGAGATTTTCTTGAAATTTGGAAGTTGAAAGCTGAAAAACGAAGCTTTTCTGCGAGACCTTCACATTTGGAAGCTGAAAACATCAAGAAAACAGCAATTCCGCAAGGGAAAGTGGAGTACGGCCTCGTGCCAATCCGTTTTGTGACTGTTCCACTCCATCTAAAGTACTGCGCCTGCCGCGAAAAAGTGAGGCCAGGTCATACGAAGTTCTCCATCTGTCACGCGAAATCATCTTAGGAAACCTGACGCTCTGATACTCCAAAATGCAACCCATCTAAGGAAACCAGGGCCCTGACCTCCGATGATGAAGACGACTTTGCGACCTTTTCGCGCACCTGAGTCTTCTCTCTTCTGACTCTTTCTCTTCTCTGATCTTCTTGCTTCTTCTTTTCTCTTCTCTGACTTTTCCCAGCTCTGCTTGTCCATTTGTCCATATTGTCGGAAGTTTGATTTCTAAACTTCCCTCGGATAGCCCCACTCTATCCGGTTAGATATTGATTTCCCCCTAGTTAAACACATTTTTTCTATGTTTATTGGAGGCCCCATTTGCCAACCAGTGACATTTTCCATTGCATGGCTGAGCTCAGGCATCTACTGCCTCCAGCTCCTCGGGAAACCCTAGCCGAGTGGAGGTCGGAAGACGCAGTCGTGGTGGAAGTGCTAATTCGGTGGAAACCCATGAAAAGCAATGCAACATCAACATCTATATAAATATGTTTGTTTATTTATCTAAATTATCCGTCTATATTCTTGTTCATGTCCATCTGCTGTTGTGATTCCTGGGATTCCTGGGATGCATGCAACAGCTATTGCTACTGTTCGTTTCGCCCTTCTTCTGCTTCTGCTTTTGCTTCTTCGTCTTCTTTTTCTTGCTGTTTTTCATTGATTAAGTATGACTAAGATATTAAGATCATCATTATGATGATGACGACGATGATGCTGGTTGCTGGCTCTTGGTTGTTGAACTACGAGTATGGGTCATTGTCTTTGTTTTGTGCTTATGCGTAGTTGCTGCACTTGGTCAGTTGCATTCTTTCCTCGTTTGTCTGATTGTATTGTTCGTTGCTTAGTCTATTAGCGCGATAATTATGTAGCCAACTAGCTTGTTGGGCAGCTCGTCCCTGAGTTACTGGTTGGTTCCTCCGCTAGTCACATCAATCAGCCAGCAAATTATTGAGTTCGTCAGTCACTCAGTTACAGCAACCCCGAAAAAGATAGAACCGTAAAATTCCACTAAATAGCGATAAATCCAACAAATTGTTTTTCCATCCATCTGGAGGTTACTATAGTTAGTCGATTTGGTAATTCATTAATCACTTGGCTGCTTAGTTCATGGGAAACGTGACGAAAATCCAGGCAGCGCATAGTCAAACGGCATCCCTGGCGATTGCTGGAACAGCATTGGCCGCCTTGACCGCGGGTGGGCGGAAGGTGGGGCAGCAGATATCAGGGCGATTTGTGAGATGTGCTGTATACCATGGTATACCTCAATTTGTGGTCGATTTGTTTGGGAAAATGATGAATCAGTGAATTTAAGGGGAAACTGTTTTTGGACCCAGATCTGCGCGAAGCAGAATCAGCAGTCATTTGTCATTCGTCCCTTGCACTCAATGTTGGGCACGTATGCACTTCAGAAAAACGGTCCAGAAACAGTTGCCCCAGCTGCAATCGAACATATTTGACAGATTGTTTTATGTTTCTGCCTGACTCTGTAATCACTCAGATTGCCATGTTTTCGGACGAAGACGTTGAACCTCAATTGGGTATGTGAGCATTCCAAACCAGCGACCCCTGGCTGGTCATTCTGGTCATTGCCACTCGGCAGGCTCTTGGAAATGTCAAGCCAACGCGGGTGCGCCAGTTCTGCTGTGAAAGGGAATCTGAGGGAGGATGTGGGGCATGTTGTGAAAGATAATGCAGTCGGCTGCGCTAGTCCCTACGGTGCTGTTGGTAAATGGGATAATGTTAGAATCACATAGCATAATTACTTCATTTACACTTCAAGAGTCTGCGCCAAAATGTGTCTTGCAGGGCAGTTGGCCGCAGGGGCGGGCTGTAAGCTATTCATTGGTTTCCCCAATAACACTCTGATATTTACCTTGCTCAGACCAGAGTGTTTCTTTATTGACGCCATCTCTTGCACGAATCTTCAGATGATTCTGCTAGAGGTTCCTTTCAGTACTCCAAAAGAATTGTTGTATGTTGTGGGCAACTGGCAATAGGCCTTTGAGTACCAAAATGTATTAAGGGAATGAACATCCAGTGCTCAATAGGAGTAGTTAAATAAAGTATACCAGCCATCATAGGGAATAACCGTGATGAGTTAACAAGTAATATAAGCACACCATTGGTTGATATCTGCCCCTTAGGGAAAGCATGTCCGTGGCTACCGTAGACACCTTGTGTCAACGGCGCAGATGCATAAAACTTTTGTTGCAATTTGTGATTTGATTTGCGCAGTTCTTCAAAGGATGACTGCACATCCCATACAATATACTTTCAATTTTTCTCATACCGGACATGTACATTTCTCATCATTTCTCTGGACATACTGACTGTATACAAGTGCTTCATGTTTGCCAATGTCGTACCTTATGTTTTCAGCACTGCCCAGCTCGATCGTACAGGTCAACTTGACCGCCTTCGAGAATGAACTCGGCGTGCAGGCGCCCGTGGGTTTCTGGGATCCCGCAGGCTTTACGGCCGACGGAAGCGTGGAGGACTTCAAGCGACGTCGTGCAACCGAGATCAAGCATGGTCGCATTTCGATGTTGGCCACCATGGGATACATCACCCCAGTGACTTGGATTTGCTGAAGCTGCGTTTAAGATCGTTTCAGTAACGTATGCTTTTGTTAACGTTTCCATTTCTGCAATTACACTATATATATGTATATATATATAGTTGCGGAATCTACTGGCAGTTTGTTTTTGAATGCATCCCGATGAAACAATCCCCAGGAGATCACTGGCAAATTCCCTGGCTACTTATCTCCATCTGCCGGTTTGAAGTTCGCCGATGTGCCTAATGGTTTGGCTGCCATCTCAAAGGTCCCAGCTGCAGGACAGGGTTGAAACAACCGGCTCCATCTTAAAATCGAAGCCACATATTTCCAAATATACCATATGTGTGTATATATATACTGTGTGTGTATATATATATATACATAAATATAATATATATATATATCATCCGTTAAACTTGGTTTATATGTTTGTGGATACACCATAGATGTACTGATCCCTAGACATACATCATAAGATGAGTATTGCTAATCTATGTGGGTTTTTTAGAGGCCCATATGCCAACCCTGGAGGATGGGGTCAGATCTTGGCCTACATGGCTTTCTGCGAAGTCTCCCAGGAACAGACCCCAGGAACTGATGCGTATGCTGGAGACTTTGGATTCAAGGTGTTCACCGCGGCTGACCCGGCTGAGAAAACCAAGAAGCTCAATGCCGAAATTGCAAACGGAAGACTGGCGATGATGGCCATCATCGGCATGTTTTTCCAGGCGGGGATAGGTGCTGTGCGCGTATTGTTTGTTCTAACTCGCCAAGAAAAGAAACACCACAAAGAGTCTGAATAAGGAAGCACAACTTTGTGTCATTCTGCTTGGTGTGTTCTGAGTTTCTGAGGTTTGTTTCTTGCCAGCTATATTTTGAGCACATCGCATGTTTGATTGTTTGAGATTGTTTCAACATACTGCGCCACAGCATGCTACAGTGCTATGTCATTTGTATATTTACACACGCTTACCAGTAAGATGAGTTGTAGACTGTGCCTGGAAAGAGTAGTGACATGATCAGATTGTGAATTTGATACCAGTAGTACCGCACAAGGCGGTGGCGGAAGTTTCAAAAATAGGAAACCTATAGGAGAGCTTGGTTGTTGTGAATCCGGGATGGCAGAGCGAAGCCACTGATGGACTGAAAGGTGCTTGATCTCTCTCACTCTTTCTCTCTCTTTCTCTGACTATCTACCTACGTATCTATTTTCTATGTATCTATCTATCTATCGATCTTTCTAGTGTAGTGTAATGTAGTGTAGTGTAATTTAGTGTAGCGGTGTGTAGTGGAGTGTAGTGGAGTGTAGTTGTGTAGTTCTGTAGTTGTAGTTGTAGTGTTGTGGAGTGTAGTGTAGTGTAATGTACTGTAGTGTGTGGAGTGTATAGTGTAGTGTAGTGTAGTGGAGTGTATAGTGTAGTGTAATGTAGTGTAGTGTAGTGGAGTGTAGTGTAATGTGGCGTAGTGTATTGTAATTTAATGTAGTGGAGTGTAGTTGTGTAGTTCTCTAGTTGTAGTTGTAGTGTTGTGGAGTGTAGTGTAATGTACTGTAGTGTAGTGGAGTGTATAGTGTAGTGTAATGACCCGAAGCGAAGCGAAGCAACATCTGAACCTCCAAAAGTGGTCCGAACCCCTAGTGTTTTGTACATTTTGACTTCGAAATGTGCTTCGCGCCACAACGGCGTGCACTTTTTCGAGATCTGAACCTCCAAAAGTGGCGCGAACATGTGGTGTTTTGTACATTTTGACTTCGAAATCTGCTTCGCGCCACAACAGCGTGCACTTTTTCGACATCTCAACTTCCAAAAGTGGTCCGAAGCGGGTGTGTTTTGTACATTTTGACTTGGAAATGTGCTTCGCGCCACAACGGCGTGCACTTTTTCGACATCTCAACTTCCAAAAGTGGTCCGAGAATGGTGTGTTTTGTACATTTTGACTTGGAAATGTGCTTCGCGCCACAACCGCGTGCACTTTTTCGACATCTCAACTTCCAAAAGTGGTCCGAGAATGGCGTGTTTTGTACATTTTGACTTGGAAATGTGCTTCGCGCCACAACGGCGTGCACTTTTTCGACATCTCAACTTCCAAAAGTGGTCCGACGCTGAGGTGTTTTGTACCTTTTCACTTCGAAATGTGCTTCGCGCCACAACGGCGTGCAATTTTTCATCTCTCATCTGGTCAGCTGGCTCCGCACCCGCCGCTTTAGCGAACCTACTTTTCGACCCTCCGGAGCCCCTAAATCATTGGAAAAACACAGTGTTTCGCGACTTTCCTACCCTTTCGCGCATCTGCATCTTCTTTCTTCTACTCTTCTTTCTTCTAATCTTTCTCTTCTCTCTGCCTCTTCCCTCCTCTGCTTTTCATCTGTCCATATTGTCGGAAGTTTGACTTCAAAACTTCCTTCGATCATACTGTCGAAGCATGCGCAAAGACATGGCAGATTTGATGGGTGATATTCGTTTTATTGACCAAAATGTGTATACACAAAGAACTTTGCATATCACACCATATCATATCACATCATGTTGTATCATATCATTCTAGATATATAGTACTGTGATATCAATAGAAACATCTATGAAAACGTTGATATTTCATGATATCTTGATACTATCACCCTGTGCTTTTGATCCTTGCAATGACTGCCATGCCAGAGGATGGTCTGACCGGAAGCGCCTGGGGAGACTGGGCCAACTACACAGCATCTCCTTTGCGCGCCTTCGAGAATGAACTCGGCGTGCAGGCGCCCGTGGGTTTCTGGGATCCCGCAGGTTTCACGGCCGACGGAAGCGTGGAGGACTTCAAGCGACGTCGTGCTACCGAGATCAAGCATGGTCGCATTTCGATGTTGGCCACCATGGGATACATCACCCCAGTGACTTGGATTTGCTGAAGCTGCATTTAAGATCGTTTCAGTACAGTATGTTTTTGTTAACGTTTCCATTTCTGCAATTACACTTTAAAGTTGCGGAATCTATCGGCAATTTGTTTCTCTTGATGAGACAATCCCCAGGAGATCACTGGCAAATTCCCTGGCTACTTATCTCCATCTGCCGGTTTGAAGTTCGCCGATGTG